GCCAGCTTCCCTACTCCTCCTCCATCTTAGGCCAAGTCTGGGTGTTGCCACAGCAGGGCAGTCAGTGCTGGGAGGGGGCTGGTGAATGGATCTTGGCCTAAGGGGTCAAGAAAACACGGGAGAGTGTAAAGTATTTCTAGGGTATTCTGGTTCACTAGCTAAGATCATAAACTGGCAATTCTGTTTTTAAAGGATGGCGGGGCTTCGTCTTAAATACTTTTGACATCAAGTCAGGAGGAGACTAAGCCCCCAAATCAAAACTCGCTGCCATGCATCAATTCTGGCTCGCCGCGACCCTACGGAACAGAGTAGGGCTGTCTGTAGGGTTCCCAGACCTGGCACACCACCACACCTACTCTTCTCCCATGGAGTGGCTGGTGGTTTCAAACTGCTGACCTTGCAGTTAGCAGTCCCCCTCCAAGGAAATGATTTGTCATCGTGGCTGCAACAATGGACGCAAACATGACGATTGTGAGGAGGGGCAGGCCCAGACAACATTTGCTTTACGTAGAATTGCTATGCAGTGGAATGGACTTAGTTGAAGGCAGGCTCGTGCTTTTTCTTTGCGGGTGGGGTGGTGGGGGTGGGAGGACGACAGAGATCTTGTTTGATTCTGCCAAGGTCAGTGCCTAGAACAAGCCTCCACCAACCCTTCAGACCAGCACGCAGGGCGGACACATGCACGGTGTGGCACTGTGTCCATGAGTTGATGGCATGGTTTCTATCTGCAGGGCCTGGGCCTACCATGTAGTAGGCCTGACAGATGGAAAGACAAAAAGACTAAAGTATGCACTAAAGATTAATGCAAAAGCAGGGCCACTTGGAAAGAAGTCTTGAAGAGAAAGGCAAGGACGTCTGTGGATACGAGGAAGGGACAGGAGTGTCAAGTCTAATGGGCACTGCATGCCTTTTCAAAATAGTTCTCAGCAAGAATATTGTTAACAACTTCTCCAGGTAAAGGAACAAAGGCACAGCTTCCTTTTGATCCATCATTTTCTTCTGATCACTCAACCTGGCCGTGCTGCAACGTTTCAGTCCCTCCCTTCCCGTCCCACGTCACCCCCTCAGCACGCGACTCACCATCTTAGCCTTCACTAGGTTCAGTGCTCCTTGGGTTTTTGAACTTTAGTGGGGACTTTCTCCATTACTGAATTCCCAGCGGTGGGCATGCAATACATTTGTTAAAACGAGAACTGTATATACTCGTGTAGACGCCGAGTTTTTCAGCATTTTATGCAGTTTTTGTGGTAAAATTAGGTGCCTCGGCTGATATTGGGGTTGGCTTGTACTCGAGTCTACACGGTACTTAACCCAGGCCCTCTACTCACCCTCCCCAACTGTCCTCAACTGGTGCCCATTAATTCAGTGCTGGCATGTGCTCTCAAGACAACCCCCACATGGAGACCTTCCAGGACAGAGCCAATTGTCCCTACAAGTGATCATCGTTAAGGTGGCTTTGAACTCCGATTTCATTAGCAGCTGAGTAGTGCACCACTGGCGTTCCTTGTTAACTCTTGTTGTCAGGTGGCGACTCAGAGTGACATGTACACTTGAACAACACACTGCCAGTCCTGTGCCAGCCCACTATTATGTCCACGCCCATAGTTGCTGCCACTGTGTCCGTCTTGTCGAGGGTCCTCCTCTTTTTTGATGACCCTCTACCTGGCACGATGCCGGTGATAGTTACGTAGCTGTGGCAGGTTAGGTAGCGGGCTCACATTATACAGCCAACAGTTGGCAGAAACTAAAACTCAAACACAAGGTTATAATTGAGCCCATGTTTTCACTTACACTATTGCCTTTTGTCTGAGAAGAAGCTTCCAGACATAGGGCATCATAGAAGCACGGCAGAACAGAGGTCAATCGGAAAAACCGGGTGGGCTGGGACACGCGCAGAGGATGGAAGGAGGATGATCAAGTCATTGGAGGCCCTAGGATAAAACCGTAACAAGATAGAAGAAAATCGATACAGTGGCTGTAACAATGTGCACAAACGCAAGAACAACTGTGGACAGCCCAGGATTGGGGGATACTTAATCGACCACAGGTGGCTATGGCACCTGAGGGAAGTTAAACTGTAATACGTATGACCCGCTTCAATTCAGCGGTTCTCAACCTGTGGGTCTTGACCCCTTTCACAGGGGTCGCCTGATTCATAACAGTAGCAAAATTACAGTTATAAAATAGAAACGAAAATAATTTTATGGTTAGGGGGTCATTACAACATGAGGAACTGAGGGGGGAGGGGAAAAAATGAGGACCTGATGCCGGGGGCTTAAGTGGAGAGCAAATGTTTTGAGAATGATGAGGGCAATGAATATACAAATGTGCTTTACACAATTGATGTGTGTATGGATTGTGATAAGAGTCGTATGAGCCCCTAATAAAACAATTCAAAAAAATTCAAAAAAAAAAAAAGAAATTAGCCAAAGTGAACTCCAACAAACAAAACCTGAAGAGAACCGAGCTTCAGTGACCTATGGGACTATATCAAGCTGTCTTAACATATATGTAATCGGAACCCCCAAATTTGGAGAGGGCAGGACTATAAAGACTATCAAATTATTTGAACTCTACTTCTAAAAATGCACCAGCTCTTCCTTCAAAAACCATTGCTGGTGTTTTTGATATCAAATATGTACATGGTAAATGTATGGTATGTTCATTGCAGAGTGTAAGAATTTCTCAAGAATGGGAAATATGAGCTCATATTTTTCCCTCAAGTATTTTATTTTTCTCTCAAATATGTTTAGAAATCTAAAAAAACATGAGGAACTGTATTAAAGGGTCGTTGCATTGGGAAGGTTGGGAACCCCTGCACCACATCAGAGTTCCCTGTAGGTAATGAGGAGGCAACAGATGTAATTCAGGGTTTTGTGGTTGGTGGGACAGAGGCCCCATTACTAGAAAGGGAAATCCAGCTGGCAGACTGGACGTGGGAGTTTAGCTCTGGTGGGTATGGGGAGTTTCAGCGCTGGCCTGAGATCTCTTCCGATGCTTGGTAGAGTAGTGAGGACACATTGCTCCCACTTTCTCACCCCATCAGTCTGAGTTCTAGAATCCCTCACTGAATTAAAATGCTGTTAAAAGATCTAATAATTAATGAGCTTTTAATAGGTGCCTGGCTCTCGGCTAGGTGAAGTGGTAGCAGAAAAAACTCTTTTAGCATCTTCAAATGTCCCTTTTGAATTCTGGATACATAAACCATAGCTCAGGACATTTCTTATTCCTATCTTGCTTGAACATCGAATCCAAATGTTTGCAAGTGCTCAATTTTAAGATACCTTAAAGCAGTGATTCTCAACCTGTGGGTTGAGACCCCTTTGGGGGGTTGTCAAATGACCCTTTTACAGGGGCTGCCTGATTCATAACAGTAGCAATATTACAGGTACGAAGTAGCAACGAAAATAATTTTATGGTTGGGGTGTTCACAACATGAGGAACTGCATTAAAGGAAGGTTGAGAACCACTCTCTTAAAGCATACAAAAGTCCAAGAATCAGTCCCGGTTTGGCTTAACCAGGAGCCTTAAACTTACACACCACCACCAACTTCCATCGAGTCCACTCTGACTCATTGTGAGCCTGCGTAGAGGGTTTCTGAGGCTGTAAACCAGGGGTCCTCAAACTTTTAAAACGGGGCCAGTTCACTGTCCCCCAGACCGTTGGGAGGGCCGGACTATAGTTTAAAAAAACAAACAATGAACAAATTTCTATGTGCACTGGATGAGTCGGCTGCTAATAAGCAGGACAGACAGCATTGGCAAAAACAGCTGGTGGGCCGGATAAATGTCCTTGGTGGGCCACATGGGGCCTGCGGACCCCTTCTATAAACCTTCATGGGAGGAGACAGCCTAGTTCTCCTGTGGAACCCCTGGTGGGCGTGAACCCCTGGCCTTAAGGTTAGCAGTCCAAAGCTTGCCCAGCAGTGCTCAGGGGTCAATGGAAACACAGGCGGGCCTGATACTGGATTCCAGCCACTACACATGCCACAATAATTCCGGCATGAGTTGGTGAGAGTTCCTTGGCAACTAAGAATGGAAATGGTTGGCAAGGCTGGGAGGCAGGCACAACCCTGATCAGAACAAGGTAGCTTATGGAAACACAACTCTTCAATATTGCCCAACGTCCTGTTCTTCTAAGAAGGGATTTTTGTCATTTGGGGAAATGGTCTGATTGGAGCACAAGGTTCTCATTGGCTCAAAAGGTTCTCCTCAGTGGAGGGCAGGAACAGCTGGATCACGCACACTACATTCCTTTCCTGAAAGGCGGCGAGTGAGTGGGGGAAGATTTCTAAAAATCTAGCTTTCAGCACCTCCTTGTGATGTGTGATACAGAAGGGTGGGAGCTCCGATTTGTTCACTAGCCTGAAGCTCCTAAGCATTGCAGTGATATTAACCGGCTAAGGAGAGGAAGCCAAGGCTGGTATACGGAAACTTACCTGGAAGGCAAGGGCGAGGTAGATGAGTACCTACATAGGTTTTTTTTTTCTTGTTTAAGACAAGAAAAGGGGAGGAAATAGAGGGGAAAGGAGGTAGACATTCCGAACCACATTTACCTTAGAGAAACCAGACTCTCATTACTTCCTCCTGTACTCATGTTCACCCTTCAACTTGGGGAATCTGGGCTTTGAAGAGCACGATTCTAAGTATCACAAGCGTCTGCAGCGTGCTCAGCGTCAAACAGCTGATATTTGTACTGCACAGCACCGTCTTCTCCCGACTTGAGTGGACAGTGAACGATCACGCCAGAATCTTTGTTTCCACAAATCATTGGTTTATTAGAAAGTTCTTTCCCTCATTTTACAGCATATATCTCTCTATCATATGTGATAGTTAAATACAGTCTGTTATGCTTGTAAGTAAGGTTCTTTTTTAAGTTTTAAAATCACTATTCTAGAAGTTAAAGAAAAACTGCCCCAGGAAGGCAGAGAGGTGGCCAGAGTATGGCTCAATCTACAAGCTAAGGGAAGCAGCGTGGAAATGTTAACACTGTATTATTTAAATATTTACATGGGCTGAAAACAAAGAAAAATGAATCCCTTCACTTAAAACAGATGATTTCAATTTTTCCAATGTTAGTCATCCAGAAAAATCATCCTTCTGAATCAGAGGAGGTAGGGGCAGTCAAGAATCTCCTTCACCTACCTAGCACTTGCTTCTCAGAAACAGCATTTCGGGGATCTGAGAAGCAAGCAAGGAGCAGAGCCTTGACCCAGGTAGGCAGGGCTTGCTTTTCGTCTCCGATGGCCACCCAATCAGTGCTGAGCCACAGGAAATGGGCAGAAACGCCCACGAGGGAACTACCGCCACCAAAGGAGTGGGCCCTGCAATGCAAGCACCTTTGGGTCAGTGTGTTAATTAGCACTGAAAGCTGAGTGAAAGGCAAGAGGGCAGGGAGCACAACCAAAGTGGCAATTCTTCTGGTCAATGTCATGGGAGAAAGAGGAACCATGACTGTCTAGGCTGGGCAGAAGGCATGGAAAAGATGAAGCAAAAGAGTCCAAAGTGTCTACAAATGTGCTCACATTCCAAACAAGAGGAAGAAAACAGACCCAACTCTATTATCCTCCGACTAGTACACTTCAATTTTTAGCCAACCCAAAAGGCACATTAAAAAAACTGTCAGAGGGGACAAAGTACTAGGAAGGCAAATGGCCTGCCTGGAATGAGGGGGGGTCCAGGTCACCTCGGAGACTCCCCTCACGGTGAGCAATCCCGAGGAGTCGCTCTCATTGCTTAAGAAGAAGCACGGACGTGGATCTGCCCTTCCTCCTTGGTGGGACCCACATGCTCCTCTGAACAAAACAAAGCATGAGAGCATCCCTGACACCCCAAGCTGACTGCTGCCCGTTAGCACAAAAATCCCAGTGCTGGGAGCTCCGCTATCATGTAACGGTTGTCCCAGCAAAAATGTTAAACAATGTTCCTTTTTTTGTTTGTTTTAATATTTTTATAGTTCATAACTTCAAAAAATACATGAGATTGATAAAATATACATGCTTAGTCATTTTTGCATCTAGCAGAAAACGAATGCTTTATTTTTTTTCATTTAATAACCTTTAAAGTTTCTTAATTCAACTAGGGCAAACATATTTACATAAAGCCACCAGAACAAGGATCACTTAAAGAGCCGGATGTAAAAAATATTATTGCAGTATACTACAAATATGGAACCTTTTTATATGAGCTACAAAAAGCAGCATTTACGTTTATAGAGTTCAGTGCAATTTTTTACATTAAAAAAATCCTATAAATTAAGATAACATCAACATGACAGAAGGAAAAAAATACTCTTCAGACACATGAACTCCTCTCTGGGGAAGCACACGGGTGACTCCATGGTCCACACAGCTTCTATTCATGATAGGGTCTTCTTTTCTGGGAGACGCAGAGCCGCTTCTCAGATGAGGGACAGGACAAGAGAGCCACCCGCGTGGCTCTGTGCGGGAAGTGGAGTGAACCACAGCCAGAGCAGCATCCAAGCCCCTGCTTCCAGGCCAGACTCCTCTTTTCCACTTCACCTGGGCTAAGAGAAAGCCACCAAGAGATGGCCCAAGATATTGATCCAAAGTGGTGGCACTTTCACCACCCAAGGGGCGGCATGGCCTTCCCCATGGCACTGCAAAGGCAGGCCCACATGGCCCCTGGCCACTGCCAGAAAGGAGGAAACTAGTTTAAGCTTTACAGAAGGGAAGAGTAGAGGCTATAGAGGGAGGAGGGGAGTATCTAAACGTGAGCTTAGAGATGTCGCTGCACAGGGTGGGTAGCACTTACTGGTGTTCCCTAGCTTAGAAACAAGGAGAGAAAGAAAGAGGGGAAAAGAAAGAAAAAAAAATCCCTGATAGTAAACCCAAAGTAAATTTCAAATCCGAAACCACCCCTTTAAGCCAAAAGTCAACTCTTTGGCTTTTAAAAGACATTGCCCACTCCAGCTTCTGCTTGTTGGCATTAATGGCTCAATACCCCCAAAGGAAGATTCACGGGTCACCTTCCCTGCTCCTACCTGGGCTCCCATTCCCAGCTCATGTGCCATGGCTAGGGGGGTGCTGCAGGTCCTGACCTGAGAAGATGGGGTGAAGTAGTGGGTGAAGGTGGAGGGCAGTGGCAGCTGCTGCAGCAGGCCGTGGGGCAAGCAGGGTAGGATAGAGGGCAGCATGAGGGACGGGGTGGAAGGTAAAGGGCCCTGGGTGGATAGCCGAGGCAGGAATGATGTGGATGGGATGGCTAGCAAGGAAGGTGGCAGGGTGGCCAGGGATGATGGAGTGAGTGAGGTGGGACAAGGAAATAGGAGTCAGGTGAGGCTGGGGAATGTGATGCACTTGGGCAAGGGGTTGAGGGTGGGGGTGAGGGTGAATGCCAATGGCGGCGGCAGCTGCTGCAGCATGATGTTGGAGGATGGCATGCTGGACAGTGGTGATGGAGGTGGCCGAGGCTGTAGCTGGCTGCTGAATGTGGATGGGCTGCAGGGCTGGAGTGGCTGGGGCCAGGGTAGCCGCGGCTGGAAAGGCCTTTACTTGCTTGGCCAGCAGCTGCTGCTGGATGTGTTGCTGGGCGGCCTGCTGGAGCTTGCTGTACTTCTCCATCTCCTCTGGAGTGAAGGTGATGGGCTGGCTCTCCAGGGGGGCTAAGGAGGCATCCTCAGCCCCCTCTGCTGACTCAATGCTAGGCTCCCCACTGGGAGGTGCATAACTGGGAAAGTGCTCGAGGTCTGGCGCCATAGGCAGCAAGCTGGAGTCCACAGGGCCTGGTTGACTGCCACTATCCAGGGACTCTACGGTGTCCCCGTCGCTGGGGTCAGGGAGGTAGTTATGAGAGATAGCTGGGTCCCCAGGGTAGCAGTCAGAGTGCACTGGAGTGCCCAATGGAGCCACAGCGTGATCAGCAGGAGCGTCTTCGGACTTTGGCTCTTCTGGGGAAGGGTCTGATAAGGGGCCAGCTGCTTCCTCTGAGGGGAACTGATGTCCAAATGGGGCATCGCTACTCCCTGGGGGCCCATCTTCCGCCTCTGACTGTTCATGATCTTCACCCTTTTCTACACTAGACTCTTCACATTTCTTGGTGTTGGGCTTCCGGGTAGCTGGAAGCTTCCCTATCAGTGGAAGGGCAGGCTTATTGCCGAGGGAAGGAGGGAGCTTGGGCCCAAAGTAACCTTGTGGGGGGTCCTTGAGCTTGAGCCCTGATTTACTGGGGGTGGCCAGCACCTCCTCACTCACACTGGGCTTTCTTTCTACTCTCCTTGACTGGATTTTCTCCAGTAGCAGCTTGGCGGTGACAGAGTTCTTATCTTCTGGGCTGCAGTCACCGTCTGACCCCCTTGCCGAACCAGAGGTGCTATTTTGCAAGGGTGGGCCGGACCCTTTACCATCATCTCCTCGGCTATCTTCTTTCTTCCCGGGACCTTCTCGGCCAGATCGGAAATAGTGAGGGGACTGGGAGCGGTAGATCTTGGAGCGAATGAAGTCCCGGTGACCAGACCGCCTCTCCTCAGGGCTCTCGTGACCCCATGAGCCCTTCCTGGAGCCTGACCTCTGGGAAGGGCTCCTAGTACTGCGGCTGCGGTCCCGGCTATAGCTCCGGCTCCGCTGCCAGCTGTGAGCTGTGGTGCTGCGGCTCCGCCGCTTGCTCCGGCTGCGACTACAACTGCTGCTGTGGCTGCGGCCCCGGGACCTTGAGCGCTCCCTGGAATGACTCCGTGACCGGCTGCGGGATTGGCTGCAACTGAGGCTGTAGTCATCATCCGAAGATGAGTACTTGTGCCTTTTGGACCTGCGCTTGGAGCTGGCATAGTCCGAGTCATCAGAATCGTGGGAACGCTTGGAGTGCCTTCGTGACCGGTCACTATAGTCGCTGTAGCTGTCGTCGGAGTAACTGCGCTGTCTACTGTAGCAGCTCTGGTCGGAAGACGCATCCGAGCTACTGGAGTAGGAACGGTGGGAGGAGCGGTGTGAGGAATGGCGCCGGCCAGACCTTGAGCGGCTGCGGGAATGCTCACTGCCCGAGTCCTCCTCTTCCTCCTCACTGTACTGGGATGGGGACTTCTGGTGTGGCCGGCGTGTTGAGGCGTCATCACTATCCTCGTCCCCACTACTGGCTCGGCTCCTGTGGCTGGCTCGGCTGCTGCGTTTGGGGCCAGCTCTTCGCTGGCAAGAGGAAGTTGGAGGCTCACCTTTGTGTTTCCTCCCATGCTCCTGGGAGCTGCCGCCGCCTCCACCTTCGTCCTTCTTGCTGCTACCCGCCTCTTCAGCAGGGAGGGATCGCCGCTGAGAATCATCTTGGGCTCGACGTCGTCTTCTGGGTGGCGCAGGGCTGCCACTCCCAGGAGGTTCTGGTTTGGGCCCCCGCTCAGAATCTGCGGGCGCTGAGGACTTGTTCTTCTTGCGCTTCCGTTTCTTGCGCTTCTTTGACTTCTCTCCGGGCTCTGCTTTAGAGCTTTTCTCTTCCGGGTCGGCCTTGTGTTTCCGCTTGTGTTTGCTAGCTTTCTTGTGCTTTTTCTTTTTGTGACGGTGAGACTTCCCAGACCGTGTTTTCTTGCTAGGAAGGCTTCTCCTCGTGTCTTCCGTCTCCGACCCGTGGCTGCCCCCAGGCTCCTGCTTGTTCAGGTTGCTGCCGGCAGATCCCGAAGCAGGAGCATCCCCTCTGCCTCCTGAGAGATGCACTGCCTTCTCTTCCTCCTTGCTTTTATTTGGCTCTGCAGGAGCAAGGTCTTGTAGATGGGCATTTGAGGGGCCTCCTATCTCCTTTGTTTTTTCTGTCCCTTTAGCTCTGGCATCTTTGTTCCTTGAAAGTTTAAAGTCAAAATATAAAGGGTTGCAACTATATGAAATGGAGGGTTCTGCCTTGGTGAAAATTAATAGTTCTGATGGCCACTGGAGGGCAGTGCTTTCATCTTTGCTCAAAACTGGGAAGAAAGGGCCCGTAGGACGCTTGGGGCCATCCTGGCTTTCTTTCCCTGCTGGGGTGGCCTGAGAGGTTTCTGTAGCAGTGGACACACACACGTGGAGCTCTAAAGCTTTCTGACTCTCTAAGCTCTGTTCGTTCCCAACCCCTCCGGAGGCCTTCTTGGTCTCAGCTTTGCTTGCAGGCTCTGAGGACTCAGTCCCACTGTTTTCCCTCTGCGCCTCGTTGAAGTCACTAACTGTCTTTTCGGCTCCTTGACCTGCCGCCACCTTGGCGCTGCCTTTAGGCTTGGGAGAATGGCTTGTTCTGCTCTCCGAGGCAGTCTTTGGGTGTGCACTGTTCTCACCTTCCGTTTGTTCACTGGCTCGCATAAACAGTAGGAAGGGGAAATTGGGTTTCACTTTGCAGTGTGCTGGGGGGATGTAGTGGTAATATTCAGGCTCTAACGCCCCTGTTCCTTCTTCTCGCTTCATTTTTTTTAACTTAGATAATGTTGAGGCAAGGGACCCTCCGTCTTGGGGGTCTTCGTCCTCTTTCTTACCGTCAAGATTACCACTACCCTCAGTGTCTCCCACCTTCTGCAGTCCTGGGTCAGAACCCTTCTCATCAGCTTTTGCTCCATCTTCAGAAGGCCCTTCCTCTGCGTGGTCCTTGAAGACAGATGCTATGGATTCCAGTTTGACAGGAGCCTTCTTGGCAAAGGAAAAGGACACCCCCAGTTTTTGCAAGGGGGTCCCCAGGTTATTCTTAATGCCAAAGCTGATGCCCTGGGAAGCTGAGCCAGGAGCTGGAGCCAGTCCAGCAGTGGGAGTCATGTGCACTGCAGTGAAAGGACCTCCTTTTTCTGTGGGGGGTTCAGATCCCAGGCCACTAGTGGCAGTGGCACTTGTGCCACTGTTTGTAGCAGATTCATCCTTTTCATCATCTCCACCTTCTTCATCTACAGCCACCGTGGTGGGCCGGAACATGGGGCCACTTCCAGGTGCACTAGAAAATGTTGAGAGAAAAGAAAAGGTAGGTTTAGGGGCATATTTCATACAGACAAAATAGAAAATACCGTAAAGTCTTATAAAATAGACATCTCTTACGTTCTACACTGCACACAACTGGTCATTTCCTAGTTCTGAGCTACCGAGTGGAGCTACCCCAGTGAAGGCTAAGCAAGGTTACCCCATGCTGTTACCCCACACCCAGCTAAGATTTCTAGGACCCCTTACTGCTGTTTCTTTCTAGACCGTCCCAACATTCAAAAAGTGAGACTCACCTCTGAATTCTAACAGCCCATCATTACTATCTGGTATAGTCTACCCTGTTCCTGTTTGCAATCTCATTGCTTACTGTAGCATCCTACTCTTTAGTTCAGTATGCTATCAAATATATCAAATATATACTTCTAGTCCCAAAATCAATGCTCTAAAATATATAGTTGCACTCACAAAAGTTGTTTTTTAATTTAGTTTAAAATAAAAATCTAATTTCCCATTTTCAAATTCATTTTAAAAAGTGTGTACATTTTCCAAGTTAAAAATAAACAGAGACCATTACTGTGTTAAGTCTATGGTCAATATATCTGTGTTAGAAGCAAAGAGTCTATATCTATCTCCTGGGTACCACCAACTAAGCATTTGTTTTTTTGGTTTGTTTTTTGACAGTTTTCTGTGTACTCAGCACCACTGTCATGATACCACCAAGCACTTTCTCAGCTGTGACAACAGAAACACTTCTGTGTGAACACTACTGTCTTTTTTCTTTTTTTGAAGAAAACTGTTTCAGAGGTTTATTTCAGAGCTCCAGGGAGGGAAGGGAGAGCAGAGAAAGGGATTGGAGCATCCTGAGCTCCTAGGTGAGGTTCATGGGAGCCCCCCAGTTGGGGCCCGGCAAAGTCACACTGTTCAGGCGAGAGGTTGAGAGCTTTATAGCCCGGGTCTGGGGGTAGGGAGTAGCTGGGGAATTTTTATTTCGGTTTGGCTGTTTTGCCAAGTGGGCAGTTAGAACTCAGTAACAATGTAACAATGCTATCGGAGCTGGCATCCATCTGCGTCAGGGCTTCAAAGGCCAGTGTCAATTGTTGCACACCATCGAGCACAGTCCTCAGGCGGATCTTTTTGGTGATAATGGGCATTGTACTCTGGCTGCTTCCTGCTGGTAGGGGGCGCTGTGGGGCATAAATACCAGAGCAGGCAGAAGGGCTCTGGCTGGTGGGCAAGAAGGTATAAAAGTGGAGAAGAAGCTGGTTCACTGTGACCCTGGACAGTTCTTGTATGCACCCCTGGGTAAATCTGAGAAAGCATGGGGCTCAGCCTCACTTAGTGGTCCACATGGACATGGGAGACCAGGAGGGCAGGAGAGAGGGGGAAGCGAAGGAGGACTAGGGGAAAGGGAACAGGGGAGCGAGGACCAGGGGAGAAAGGACAGGAAGAGTGGAGAGAGGCCAAGGACATGAACACTAGTGTTTTAAACTGCTTGTTTGGCTCAAAGTTTTTACTGTAAGTGAACTGTAGAATATGTATCCCTTGATAAGCATAACTGAATGGAATGTACGTATTTGAATCAAGCCCTATATTTTAACAGTCCTGAACTTTGGTACCAAATATATTCATATAATGTGGTGGTATCCTTGAGGTCTGAACTCTTATTCCCAAGAATAAGGGAACCAAACAAAATTGGGTAGCAAGGGATGCTTATACCTGTTATACAAAGTACTGCATGAAAAAACAAAGTAGAAGTACTATCTTAGGAAAATGAAATATCTGATGACGGAACATAAAAGGTTTTTTTTTTTCCCTTTCCTTTAAACATTTTTTTTTTATTTTTAAAATCATTTAATAGGGGACTCGTACAGCTCTTATAACATTCCATACATTAATTGTATCAAGCATATTTGTACATATGTTGGCATCACCATTTCTAAAACATTTTCTACTTCAGCCCTTGGTATAAAGCTCCTCTTTTCCCCTCCCTCCCTCACATAATCTTGTTTTCTTTTTATGTCCCCATTTAAAGTCACTCCTGAAGAAAAAAATGTACCATAATTTGTCCTGAATAGGAAACATCTTACTTTGGTGTCTATGTCTTAAGGACGTACCTCACAAAGGAGTCTTAAGGGGGCACAAATAGTAAAAACCCAACTACTAATCGAAAGGATGGCAGTTTGATCCCACCTACAGGGCACTCAGAATAAAGGCCTGGTCATCTGCTTCAACCAGGGGAGTACAGTTCTCCTGCGGTTGGCATCCATTTGAAATTATTCAACAACTGGATTGGATTTTTATTGTATCCTTGCAGCATAGTGGTTATTCGTTGGGCTGCTAAACACAAGGCCAGCAATTCAAAACCACCCACTGCTCCTTGGGAGTAAGGCTTTCTACTCCTGTGAAGAATTACAGTCTTAGAAGCCCAATATAGCAACGATGAAACATACAACTTTCCTCTAGTTCCTAAATGCTTCCTCCCCGCCACTATCATGATCCCAAGTCTACCTTACAAATCTGGCTAGACCAGAAGATGTACACTGGTACAGATAGGAACTGGAAACACAGGGAATCCAGGACAGATGATCC